GGCACCGATTTAACAGAAGGCATTCATTCGAAAAGATAAACTCCCTTGGACAGGAAACAGTATACACCAATATCTTAATAAATAAACATCTCTTTTACCTCAATGTCTGCTGTGATGAAATGGTGGGTGGAAAAGCCCTATTGCTTCAAATAAGGCAAACCCATTTGATTTCAAGTCTTCATTGATCGTCAACGAACCGAACGCAACTCTTAGCTTATGGACTGAGAATGACTTGGGAAAGAACTCAAAAGTCTTGCCGAGAATGAATTTCTGACCGTGCATGTTTGAGCCTCTAGGTGGCGTCCCAGTCCATTGTTTTGAACTGGATGACGGACTGGCGGTGATCCGAGGGTGTTCTGTGGATCATGTGATCCAGCGTCTCCAGGGCGTCCATACTGCTGTGGCCGTTTGGTAACAGATGCGTCTGTTCGGAGGAAGAGGACGATGGCGTGAAGTGTGAGGAGGAGGAGCTAGAGTCCGAGAGGGAGGAGTTTGTAGGCGCTGACGCAAAGAGGGAGGAGGAGTAAGGAGGAGGGGGCGGAGTCGAGGATGGCAGGGCTTGAGAGGTGAACGGGTACTGATGTTGCGATTCGGGCGAGGGGTAACCGAAGTCCAAGTCGTCGAAATCAAACTCATTGTTCGTTCTTTCTGTAGCAGGCTGAGTGACATGTGATTGCATGGCTTGGGGTTGCGATGGCAGGGGTTGCGACGGTAGGGATTGCGACTGCGCATGTTCGCTCGTATGTTGTTTCGACAGCTGCGCATGCATGCCGAGCAAGTGTGCGTTCGAAGTGTGCGTCATGCGTTGACTGTTCTGGTGTAGCATAGTGCGCGAGGACTGCGGCGACACGCCATTTTGCTGTCGCATTTGCGTGAGAAGCCGCAGCACGAGCGATGTGTCTTGCCCTCGCTGCAGCTGCGACAGAAGCACGCGGTACTGCTCGGGCGGTTGTGCGCGTGAGCCGCTCTGCTGCTGCTGCTGTGTTAGCACCCCAAACGACGAATGATTCTGCTTTAGTGTGTGAACGTGCTGCTGCGGGACGTTCAAAGTGGCATGCGACGACGACATGCGCACGTTCGGGTTCAACGCCACCTGCCTGTGTCTCTGCTGCTCCTGGGAGATCAAATCTTCCAAGTTGTATGTCTCGGGAACAACCGCGCACGGGCGTCCTCTCGCGCCTAGCATGCCTCCGTGTAGGGACACGCCGTTTAGGTCTGGCACAGGCGTTTTGATGTCCGGCGATGGGCAGGGGCTGATGGTAAGATCCAAGACCTCGCTGACGGCTTCGCTCTTTGGCTTCGCCGCAGGCGGCAGAAGGGATCGTGGGTAGTGAAGGTGGTTCTGAAGGGAGAGGGGAGGGTTTGCGATGATCATCTTGGCCAGCATCTCTTGGCGCATACGCTGCTCATTTGCTAACTGCTCTCTCTCCCGCCGCGCTTTCTTCACCTCCTCGTCCATCCGAGATAGCTCAGCGCGCACGCGGGACACGCAGTTCTCTGGGATTTTTATACCTGAGACACACACATGATTGTTATTTTCGTCTTGAGGAGAGATAAACGGACATATAAAGGCCCGTTCACACCAAGAACGATAATTATGTGTGACCCTGGAGCACAAAAGCAGTCTTAAGTCGCTGGGGTATATTTGTAGCAATAGCCAAAAATACACTGTATGGGTCAAAATTATCGATTTTTCTTTTATGCCAAAAATCATTAGGATAAATACCATGTTCCATGAAGATATTTTGTAAATTCCCTACTGTAAATATATTAAAACTTAATTTTTGATTGGTAATATGCATTGCTATGGACTTCATTTGGACAACTTTAAAGGCAATTTTCCCAATATTTAGATTTTTTTTTCACCCTCAGATATCAGATTTTAAAATAGTTGTATCTCGGCCAAATATTGTCCTATCATAACAAACCATACATTAATGGAAAGCTTATTTATGTGACGTATAAATCTCAATTTGGAAAAATTGACACTTTTGACTGGTTTTGTGGTCCAGGGTCACATATTAGTGTCAACACCAAAGCACGATAACATTGTTTATTAAAAGCGCGTGCTGCAGTATCATCGTCTACCACTTTAAATGCACAAGCTCTTTAAAGTCAGGTGGATTCAGATTGGCTAAAAAACTTGAAAGTGTTCCTATGTGCCGTTATTGTTACAGCCGTGTTGGGACTCCGCTATTTGATTTTTAAAGCTGTATCATTGTCGTCCTTGGTGTGAACGGCCTTACCTCTCAATTGTGATAATCAATACTCATGACAAGACGAGTTTTAGGATAAATCTGGGATATTCATTGCTAGTAGGGCTGGGACAATAAATCGATGCATCGCGAATCGAGAAATGCTTCTGCATCGATTCTGAGATTTTCCGAAGGCATCGCGCTTCTCTCTTGAATCGATTCTGAGCTTAGTTTAGAGATAGCTGCATTCTGCTTGCTTCCAGTTCCTTACTCACGCACCACTTGAACCTAAAATAAGCATTCATAAAGTTCGAAAAGGTTGAAGCGAATTACAAGGATTTTCACAGTGGGCTGTGTTTACATAAATCTTGCATCATAAAAGACGGTGTGCAAATACATTTAACCACTTACATTACTCAGCCGAACGCACAAGTGCTCTTCTTCGTGAGCATTTGAGTGTGCGGTTAAAAACTAGCCTAGAGCGCCATCTGCTGTTAAAAACTAAGCTCAGAATCGATTCCAGAGAGAATCACAATGCATTCCAAAAATCTCAGAATCGATCCACGAAACGCGATGCATCGATTTATTGTCCCAGCCCTAATTGCTAGGGCTGCATGATAATGGTTAATCATGATATAATCATGATTATTGTCATAAAATTTCTTTTTACATTTCATCAGAATTATTGCATTTTCACATAAGCACAAATCAAGAGAACGCCCATTGGTTTGCTTGCAGATTTAGTCGCAGCAAACAGCACAAATGCCCACGTGAAAGAAAACAGTCCGGCTGTATTTCACTTTTACTTGAGCAAAATACCTCAATAGAGATTGCTAAACTCCAACATAAATGTTTGCCAGTGTTTTCAGCTCATCAGGTTTGGAACATTAAAAACACCACTGGGCAGAAAATGCATCGATTTCAGAAAAAAAGCTCTGATTGGGGGATTTAAAATCTTGACATCTGGCAACCGCAACTATGAAAGCTTGTCGTGGCTTGTTACCAATGCAAAGATAACACAAACGCCAAATTAAAATGAAACATTTTCAGGATAAATAACCAGCTGGAAAATACCGCAGGTGATTATGCCTAATAAATCGAGAGAAGCAGAAATCATGATCACGATTAAAATACGATTTATCGTGCAGCCCTATTCACTGCAATAATTAGTTTGCTAGGAAACGGGATTGAGAAGTAACAGATAACAAAACATCAACTCACCAACTTGCTTGCTGTTCTGTTTGGTTTTGAGCCGTACGATCTGCAGGATGCTGGAGTTGGTGATGTCCGAGACGATGTCAGACACTCGTTTCCAGACCCTCAGCAGCGCGCCGCACAACATGTGATACTGCCTGAGACGCATCCCCAGAAAACACTCCTGGCCCTGCTCGATCAGCTTACACTTACCATTCCTACCACAAATACAGACACAAACACTATTAAGCTGTGGTCACATTTAATGCTACTATGCGAAATTCTGAGAGCAAAATCCAGTCATTTCCATGGGAATCAGTGCGCTGAAGAATTTCGTCTGATTGGACTTTCAGTGGCGAAGAAATTTCCCTATGCGATTTTTGTGTTGGGTTCGGGTTCATTAAACTCTGACACACAAATTTGCAGCACCAATCAAAGCTAAAGAGCCACAATGGACGAGGCGCTCATTCTGGTGGTTTTAACTAAATATAAATTGTTAAATAAAACAAAATCTAAAAATATTGAAAATCACTTTCGGTAACTGAAATAAACCTTAAATACAACAAAATAAAATATGAAATCTAAAAACACTATATAGAAAGGCATGGGGGAAAAAACGTTACTTAGAAGTTCTAACTAATAAGTTTAAGTTATTTATTAAATTATTACATTTATTTATTACAAATACCAAAACTCAGATATAAATTAAAGCTAAATATTAAAAAATTAAGGACAAATGCACATAAAATGACTAAAACTTTGTTTACTTAAAAAATGGTCATCTTACTATTAACTAAAACTAAATCTAAAACTACTGAACACTTTTTCGGTTAACTTAAATTAAAATTAAAACTGAACATTTGCCAATAAAAAATGTAAAAAGAATTAATAAATGTTATAATGGTATAAAAATAATACTAAAATACACAGTTTTGTTTCACACTACACCATCAATATTATAAAATCAACCATAAAAAGAAGCTGTTTGGAAAGCAAACAGGTTTGGTTCATTTGCTAGCTGGCAGAATAGCTTTGGATGTTTATTTTGTCATCATTATCACCTGTGAAATCTTGCAGAGCAACAGTAATTGTGAACACACCTTTAAACACACACACACACACTTATTCAATCAGTTTACAGAGTTGTATTATAGTAGATTCTTAGCTATTAGTGCAAATTATAACATAAACCTAAAAAATAAAAAGTGGAACATATTGAAATACATTGTCAAAAACAAAAAGTATCAGTGTCAGCAGGGTCAGAGTCTCTACTGATCGCTCACACACACACACACACACACTCACCAGTTGGCATGTGTGCAGTTGGTGAAAGAAAAGACAAACTGACTCTCCCAGAAATCCTTTGCTTCATCAGGTGTCACCTTCAGAGCGGGAAGAAAAACACTTGTATGAACGTGTTTTCATCAGAGCATTTAGTGTGAACCTGGACTGGTAGCAAAAAAGCCATTAAAAGTGGCAAAAACTCTTTTTTAAATTCATTATAACATTTCATGTTTACATTATCATATTTTAGGGCTTGCTATGCGTTTGATGCAGTCTGATATCCGTATTCACTCACTCAAGAGGAGAATGAATGATTTATGAAGTGGTTTTTGATCAAAAATAATAATAAGTCAACTCTGAAAACACTCCCAGCAACTCTAAACTTGGATTGTATCTCGACTGAACTCAAGACCAAAAAGTCAAACCAACTCTTACATTCAAACACACAAGTGTGTTCCTGACAGACCCGCTCTCTACCACTGGATGTCACTGTGCGACAAGAGCTCTGCGTAAGGTTTAACATCATATCAATGTGTGTGAGCTGTAGGGACTCTGGCAGTGCCTGATGGGTTTTGCGTGTTGTACCTTGTAGTATCTCAGGAGCAGGTTGTCCAGGTTCTCAGGATGAGCCTGTTTGCCGATGTTGGGCTTAAACAGGATGAGATTACGACCCCGACCCTGTTCGGCGAGCAGGACACACGGCTGATTCCCGCGCAGCTGAACACACAAACACACATATATGTCTTAAGTCGCTGGGGTATATTTGTAGCAACAGCCAAAAATGCATTGTATGGGTCAAAATTATCGATTTTTCTTTTATGCCAAAAATCATTAAGATATTGAGTAAAGATCATGTTTCATGAAGATATTTTGTAAATTTCCTACTGTAAATATATCAAAACTTATTTTTGATTAGTAATATGCATTGCTAAGAACTTCATTTGGACAACTTTAAAGGCGATTTTCTCAATATTTAGATTTTTTTTGCACATTTTGAAAAATTGACACTTATGACTGGTTTTGTGGTCCAGGGTCACATATATGGTAAAAACATACTCAAAGATGGTAATTTGGCATTTGGATGATTTCGACTGCATAAACACAGCAAGCGTGATTTATCGTCAGACATCAGTGTGTGATGATATGTCGTGTACCTTGTTTGAGAGGTAAAAACCTTCAAATTCTCCAGTGAGTTTCTCTGCTTTACTGCAGGCCTCTTCCCAGGGCATCCCGCGATCCACACTGATCTGAAAACAGCCACAACACAAACTCAGGACATTTAGAAAATTTCTAAATAAATAAATAAAAGTAGTAAAAAAAAGAATAGTCATATATATATATATATATATATATACAGTATGCATGTATATAAAACTAAAATACATGTAAAATAAAATAAAAAATAAAATAAATGATTTATTAGGCTATCTGCAGGACCTGCACAAATAAAATTAATACCATATGAGCGGGGTAGAGCAATGTCTATGATAACATACAGTTCAGATACAGGTTTTCACAAAAACAAAAAGTTTATAAAAACGATAAACTTCACATTTCAGCCTTTAAACCATTATTAAGAGTCAAAAGTATCAATTATAATATTAATTTAATATTTAGTAGTATTATTGATTTGACTTAGGGCTGAATGATTAATTGAAATAAAACCGAAATCACAGTATGGTTTTGTGCGATTACTAATTCACAAAGGACATGACTTAAATAAATATATGCACTTTATGTTTCAGAGTGAAGCGGCACTGCACATTTAGTTTATGGTTTAGTTTAGTTTGAGTTTATATTACAATATTAAAATAATAACAATAAAAGAGTTTGTATTACAATAACATTTCTTATTTTGTTTTTATTGAGTTGTTGTTATTATAATTGTATTAACATATTTCATATTTACGTATTCACAAAATGTTGGCTAAATTGTGCAGCCCTAGTACAATATTAATATTGTGCAGCCCTAGTCCAATATGAATATCTCTTATGTAGTTTTTTTTTTTTTTTGTAAATATATATTTTTTAATTATTATTATACACTTATCTTATTATTATTAGCAGTAGTTGGAGTAGTAGTAGTAATTCCTCATTTTAATAGTAGTATTAATTCTTCAAATATTAATATTTTTATTTTGTTATTAGGATTATTATTTACATTTTTATTTAGTAGTAGTAATAATAATAATTATTATTATCTTTATTATTTATAGACATAATATAATCACAGCATTAACTATTATTATTATTATTATATAGCCATTATATAGCCTGGATTTGTTCTTTTTTAAGCAATTATTTTCAATTATTATATAATATTAAATAACACTTAAATATATTTTACCGTCTTAATTGTTTAGATTTTTATAATGCATTATCTTCTTGTTGACATGCACAACTCTGCGTGTTTGCTGCGTAAAACATGGGTTGAATTTCACATTGGTCTGAACTAAAACAGCAGACGGGCTGATTGAAAATGCACATTCATTCTCTGCCAGTAGGAGGCGCAGAAATACAGCGGTTTCTCGCTAATCGCTACACAAAGCAGCGCAGCACCTGACTTTGAAACATGCAGTGCTCATATTTATTAAATGAAATCACGGCCTTTTGAAGTTTAATCGTCACATTAAGCCATATTGCAATTCTTGTCTTTCCGTTCCCAAATGTAAGACCTCCTGAAATCATAATTAAGACTTTCTTGTACCATTGAGGACTTTTTATGGCCTTAAATTTGATTGAACTAAAATTAAGACTTAAGGACCCGCGGAAACCCTGTTTATATACAATATAATATATATAATATATTAAATAAACTTATATATAAAAGTCAGTCAGTAAGATTTTTTTAAATGTGTTTCAAAGTCTCTTCTGCTCACCAAGGCTACATTTATTTGGTAAAATAATGTCATAAAAACAGTAATATTGTGAAATAATATAATTTGAAACAACGGTTTTCTATGTGAATATGTTCAAAATATGAATTTTCAGCATCATTACTCCAGTCTTCAGTGTCACATGATCTTCAGAAATCATTCTAATATGCTGATTTGCTGCTCAAGAAACTTCTGATTCTGATCAATGTTGAAAACCGCTGTGCTGATGAATATTTTTGTGGAAACTGTGATACATTTTATTTTTCAAGATTCACAGATGAATAGAAAGTTTAAAAGAACAGCATTTATTTGAAATGGAAATCTTTTGTAACATTATAAAGGTTTTACTGCCACTTTTGATTAATGCATGCTTGCTGAATAAAAGTATTAATATCCTCATTTTCCTGACATGTACCTTATAGAGGATGACCTGGCCCTCCTGAGGGTTTCCTGGAGTTAGAAACTTCTCCTGTGTTTCCTCGTGAATCTCATCATTACCAGGAGCAAGATCTGAACACACAGAATATGACAACATTAATCTCAGACACACATACAGCTCATCTGCTGCTGTGAAAACATACCAGACCCACGCAAATATAACCGCACTATTCCGCATTACATTCAGATTCCTCACCCAATATTCCCATGTCATATTTTCCCTCTTTTTTATCCTTGTTGATCAGGTAGTCGAAGTTATCGGTGAAATACTGGAACAGAGAGTTCTGATGATGGACCTCCATACCCAAAATACGGTTCAGAAACTTAGTGATGGTGCAGTCTGGTATATATGGGACAAAAGAAAGGCAATTAGCCACTTGGTTTGCATGTAACTAACTTGCATGAAATCAATGCATTTCTTAAATACAAACCTTTCTACATGCAAATGTAATGTAACTAACAGGAAAGCACTCCACTCACAGAAATTACATCAGTAACACATAACCAGATCAAATGTACATTATCCATATACAATGTTATCAATACATTTTGAATCTGACACCAGTAATATGAAAATGGGCAAATATCAGCACAGATACATTTTTATCACTTATATAAATATGCTCAAGCAGAAGTATCGCTGCACTAATCATACGAAACACAGAGATGATCATTAAATCTTTATAATCAGATCATTGTGCTGCTGTTGTATTACATTTACCTTTCTCTGTATTCTGACTTGGACGCGGCTCCTTACAGAAGATTCCCACATCAATCATGCCATTCTTCATATCTGGCACACACACATATAAATATTAAAATCAGTGCACACAAAAATTACACCATCATGCTCTTCTGCATGTGCTTGAACACAACAGTAAGCAACATTAGGATTAGTGTGTCTTAAATCAGACTATGCAGACTGCGTGGATTTACGTGGATTAACTGCAGAACTGTAGTATTTTGGTAGAAATGTTAAACTAAATATTATATTAACATATTACATTTTAATAAAGGTACACTACCATTTGGGGTTGGTAACTTTTTTTTTAAGTTTTAAAATGAGGTCTCTTCTGCTCACCAAGGCTGCATTTATTTGATCAAACATATAGTAAATACAGTAATATTGTGAAATAAATAATAGCTGTTTTCAACGTGAATATCTGTTCAACTGTAATTTATTTCTGTGATCAAAGCAGATTTTCAGCATCATTACTCCAGTCTTCAGTGTCACATGATCTTCAGAAATCATTCTAATATGCTGATTTGCTGCTCGAGAAACATTTCTGATTATTATCAATGTTGAAAACAGTTGTGCTGCACAATATTTTTGTGTAAACCGTGATACAAGTTATTTTTCAGGATTCTTTGATGAATAGAAAGTTTAAAAAGAACAGTGTTTATTTGAAATAGAAATCTTTTGCAACATTATAAATGTCTTTGCTGTCACTTTTGATCAAATTGGCATAAGCTGCATTACTGAAGCACATCAGAACAGATGACATTACCTTTGAAGAATATGATGTCCCCTCCTGGGTAGCTCTTCGGTGGAAGGACTTTGTTGTCGATTTGCCTGAGGATGGCTTTAGTGATCTTATCCAACGCTTTGGTGCCGTACTAAGACAGACAGAAGATAAAAAACTGGTTAAATTCCTTGGTTCAAACTTTGATTTTACCCTCACTGGTCTCTTTTCACACTGTATTTGTGGGACTGTGTGTGGTACATATCAACCTTCTACAGTGCGAGTAAATCACTCGCATATGCGACTAAATCTTCACTCTGGCGACTAAATGATGTCTAATATTAGCCAATTGCTAATAAATTCTCAGATTTTACTCGCCAGTGTGTGAGTTGGAGGCTAAGTATAAGTTTAGCCTAGATATATTTACACTCGCCGAACACTCTGACTGAGCGTTTCAGAGTTTCGCTCTCCGTCAAGCGATCTGTGCTATTTTTCAATTAATCTCGATGGATGCGCAGTGTACCTGTATTTGACGTACCGTAAACTCTAGTGTGAAGGCGCACGACTTGCTGTTGTGTGCTGGGAGCACTGTTTCTCACACACACGCAAAGAAAGAGAGAGAGAGAGAGAGAGAGCGAGAGAGTCACATTGTATGGAGCTGACGCGCTACATGTAAATGATATTCTTTGTTGTATTTTTCTGTAAAAATAACAGTTCATTTAGAATTATTCAGCTTTTAAGAATAAGCATAAGATATGCCGGTTTCTCCAGTAGTGGGCGGAGCTAATGCGCAAACGACTGGCACTCATTTATTATTAACAAATATATATATATATATGTGTGTATATATGTGTGTGTATGTTTATATGTTTATGTGTGTATGTATATGTATGTGTATGTGTGTATGTGTGTGTATGTGTGTGTGTGTGTGTGTGTGTT